CTCCCTCCCTCCCTCCCTCCCCTTCTCCCGCTCCTTACCTGCATCGATCACCAAGAAATCACACACACACCTGATGGCGCGCAGCCGTCGGTCGACTCGCATGCCGCTAGAAAACACCCTACTGCCGCTGACTGCCACTCGTCATCGTCACCGCGCGCTTAGCGATCCGATTGCGCTACCAGTCTCTCTACTTTCCGCGGGGGCGCGCGCGCGCGGATTTTCTTGTCGTACACCCAATCTTTCTTTGTCCTTCTCCCCGCGGCCCGCGCGCTCGGGAATCCGCTTCGCTTCGCGCTCGCTCCAAATCTTTCTCCTTCTCCTTCCCCTTCCCCTTCCCCCGGCCCGCGCGCTCAAACCGTAGACCTCCGAGCTCCCAAGGGGGATGCGCGAGCGGCATCCGATCCTTCGCGCGGCAAGTGTCACTCTCCCCGCGCTTCCCTTTTCCCCCCAACAACCGCCAGCCCAACCTCATTCACGAGGAGAAGATAAGAGGAAAGCGAGGGGATACAGGGGGGGATGGCGATAGGCGGGTGGGAGAGCGTCCTAACTACGGCGCAAGCTAATCCGCGGAAGGCACAAGATAACTTTCGTTTTTCCAACCGTGCGCGGGTCGATGCACGTGCGCGCGCGAAGGTTTACTTGAGAGGTGAGCTGCTTCGCTTGACCGTCTTGAGCGCCGGAGACTAGACAGCGGAGAGGCATTGCCATCATGTGAGGAAGCGGCCATCACCGCTTCGTCTCCCGCTCGTTGACGATCTGCTGCGCGGTGGGGGCTCGTCCTCCATGTGCCGATCTACTACGAGCGACCGGACGCCGAGCTCGCGCGCTCATTCCGAGCTGCTACCGGTAGTTCAAGTGGTAGGCGTTGTGGTCGTTGCGCGGTGGTTGACAACGCACGGTTCCATTCCACAGAAGAGGAGAGAGGAGAGGAGAGGAGAGGAGAGGAGCAAAACGAAGGGCAGGAAGGCGGCAACAAGGAAGAGTAATCGTGCACGCCTGATCTTGCGGACAAATAGCTGGAACGCCACCTGCCGTTCCATAACCCCCTCCTCCTCCTCCTCCTCGGTAAGCGCTCCAGGCCCCCTAACAGGCCGCTAACGGGACGGCCGTGGTTCCAAGCACAGGCAAATGCCAACGCCGACGTCAACGTCAATGGAAAAGCGCTTGCCACCAGCGAGGGCAGCTACGCTGGAGTGGATGCTAATGCTAATCTAACAGCGGAAGTACGGAGTACGACAGCTTGTAATGAATGATCGAAACCGCGTTGCGACCGACAACCGCTTCGACGCCACGCTGGCGCGGCTCCGCGCTCATTCCGAACCTACGTACCGTAGCTGCGGACGCTTACGGGGTCCTGGTCCCATTCGCAAAGAGCATGGGGGTTAATTCCTGCATCTGGATGTGTTTTGACCAGAGATGCAGAAAAGCAGATCAATCACAACTCTCTGCATATCTCCAGAAACAGGTCCAGATTCAATACAATCCCTCTTTGCTGGTGGGACCAGGCCGCCGCAAGGCCGGACCCCAGACCAGCAGGCAGTCCGGGCAGTGTAACGCAATCCCCGGCGGGCGTGACCGCGGCTGGGGCCGGCAAGCAATTCACCAGCCGACCGGCTGCATTACGTATTCACTTGCCGACAATCGAAATGTGCAAAATGAGAACGAACTTCCTTCTAGAACACGGCCAGATGCACGCGCCATAATTTTGTCGTTTTCACATTTCGGAGAGTGGTCTGGGGAGGCCTAAAGGGAAAGGGAGGGAAAGGGAGGGAAAGGGAGGGAAATTTTGGTTTTTATTTTATTTTATTTAATTCATTTTGTCGGCCACCGGTGCCAGCTGCGCCAGCAGCAGCCGCAGCAGCAGAACGCTGAACGCGCCTTGCTATATACCGATAGAAGGCCTACCGGTAGTACGGGTAGCATAGTCGCACAACTCGCCACATCCGCCAAGATTTCGAATGAGAGCGACGAATACGTCCAGATGAATTCAAAATGTTGGCGCATGGCGGGTGATGCAGCCAGGCCCCTATCGGGCGTCAGGGCTGTCCAGATGCATTCAATTCAAAATGTTGGCGCATGGGCGGTGGCGCAACCAAGCCCCTACAGTAGGCCCTTACTTTTCGTTCTATTTTTCCTTGTAATTGGATCGGTTCTTTTTTTTTTTTTTTTTGGATCGGTTCTGGATTTACTATTTGCCGCTCGTCTTTGCGCGGAGGCCATACAATGCTCATCTCTCTTCCCTGTTTGGGGGGCGAGGTCCCATTAGCAAAGAGGATCCGATCGAATGCCTGAACGTGGACGGTTTATGTGCAGAGATGCAGGAAATCAGTTCGATCTCGATTTCCTGCACCTGTCGACAAAAACACGTCCAGATTCAGGCATTCGATCCGATCCTCTTTGCTAGTGGGACCACGCTCCGGATTGTTTCCTTTTGAAGGGGATCGCCGTACTTGCAGCAAGACAGCGCGGGAGTACTCGGCTCTACCGTAGTAAGCGCCCCCCCCACGACGCCACGCGCGTGTCCACATGGCATATGCTCTCTGGTGCCATCGAGCTCAGCGCGCAGTCCACTCTAAAACATGTAGCCCTTGCCTTAACCGACCGCTTGGCCCCAATTGTCCCGTGTCCCCGACGCCCCCAGCCCCCCAACGCCCGGCGGCCAAGACTCAACCCGGGAGGCCAGACCGCCTCTACCTTGGGAGCGCGATCCCGGGCTCGGTCCCACCACCACAGTGTAGGTTACAACTCCTTTTTATTTTTATTTTTGTAATAATCAAACACGGGCCCAGTGCCCAAGGCTCTTTAGCTTCGGGACGCGACTTCAGCAGGGAAAGGCAGGACTGTTTTATATTACCTGTCTGTAGGTGCAACCGTTTTTTTTTTTTTTTTCCCTTTTTAATAAGGCGCAACCGTTTAGTTGCGACTGTTTAGTAGTTGTATGTGGGAAGGTGTAACGGTGGGAGGCACGTCAGCCGGGGCCAAGTCCCACTAGCAGCGTTGAGCTACCTCAACGCCTGAATCTGGACGCTTTTGCGGAGATGTGCAGAAATGGTGTTGAGTTTCCTGAACTGCACGTCCAGGTTCAGGCATTGAGGTAGCTCAACGCTGCTAGTGGGACTTGGCCCCAGGGAGAGGCAGGGTCCGACTTTTCTTTTTTTTTCTTTTTTTTTCACAAAATCATTCAGAGGCCGGTGGATCCGACATTTGGCGAGAACGCTTCAAAAAAAAAAAATAATAATAATAATAAAATAATAATAATAAATTGCGATATTGTGATGTCCACCTATCCATTCGATTCTCATAGAGCCAACGGCCTTTCTTCCTTGAGCTTTCTTTTCGCCTTGGAGAGCTTGGAGACCTTGGAGGCCGGACTGTTGGGACGTTGCATGCGCTTACTGCGAAGAGGGTAGGCAGTAGCTCTCATCCTTTATTGCAATTTAGGCTGGGGGGCTCGAGCGCATGATCTGTCTTCTACCACCAGTTACTTGTGTACCACTCAGGCCCAGGGCCCAGCGTCTTACCTCTCATGATGAGCAACAGAGAAAGCTCTGACATCTGACGCTCCAACCGGAAACGGGCCCTGACACAGGACAGAGAGAGAGAGAGAGAGAGAGAGAGAGAGAGAGAGAGAGAGGGAAAAAAAAAAGAAAAAAAAAAGGGAGTATCTATAGTTGTACACATCTACCCTTGTTCTTTTGTCATAGTTAGGGCATGCTCACACTACCGGCTTCACCCGAATAACGCCCCATCATTATAGCTCTGTATTTTGGGGCAACTTCATAGGTCGAGGTGAAGCGATAATGGGCCTCGCTTTGAAAAAAAAAAAAAAAAAAAAAAAAAAAAAAAAAAAAAAAAAAAAAAGATACAATAGGGGGGGGGACGGCCGCGCCACGAAACAGCGCTAAGGTGCGCTAATTCTGCGTTAACGCAGCGATTAGCGTGAGCCCAAGAGAACGTAGTATTACGGTATTCCCGAGGCGCTATCGTAATGCGCACTTTAATCGCTGGTTCCTTTTTAGTGACGTGTTGGGAATGTCGCGGGTTTTACGGTGAATTGTCTATGTGGCGTTCTCTCACTTCCGCGTGGTATGGACAATACGACGTTTCCCCTAGGGAAGACCTAGGGACAGGAAGAAGCTGTCCTCCTTTCGGGCTCCCTTCCCTCTGAGCTGAAGACGTTGCGCCGAAGACTCAAGGTAATGAGAATCTACTGGCTAGGGCTGTGTCTTTCGACCCTTGAGAAATGAGCCACGACTTCGGGATAAACAAAGGTTTTAGTCCAGGTGCATGTTCAGTGGAGTGTACATCTCTAAAATATCAATTCCTGCATTTTGTAAGCATAGAATATTTTATTACGTTGCAAGGGGATTTCACGTTCGGCACTATCGAGTTGGAACAGTGTTGATTCCTCTTTTCTTTTGGTGGTTTCTTCGCCAATAGCTTAGTGGAGTTTTATGTGTTTGTTGGGCTGGAGTACGACGTTGTTTTAGTTTCCAGTTTGCCCTCTAAAAAACATATAGGTTCTGGGTAAGGAGGAGAAGGATGGAGAGCAACGGGGTGGGCTCGCTCCCCCCCCCCTCCTCCCCTCCCCTCCCCCTCCAAACCCTCCCCCTCCTGATCCCCCCTCCCTCCCTCTCTCGGATGCCGAGAAACTGAGAATAAGATCGATTCTTTCTTCTTGCTATGCTGATGGGTTGTTACCTAAACATCTGGCTCCAGCATCGAACCCTAACAAGGTAGGAGTGGGAGCGGATTACGTCAGAGTGACTTTGGACCCGGAGGTCCTTCGGATTCAGGTGGAATGGTTGAAGGCTCACGCGGTCACAATTTTGTTTGGGGACGAGACTACCTCGCTCCCAGTGGATGTCAAAAAAAGACTCGTGAGATTGTATGAGGACGGATGGGCAAATAATGGATCTATCGCAGCCCCCCCTAGGAGAGGTCTATTTCGCAATGAGTGTCGTAACCTTATAACTTATGTAGCTACGTCAAGTCTGGTTGCTTCTTTCATGCTGCGGAAAGGGAAGGATAGGATCATGTTGGAAGGTAAAGTCTACGAACTCTCCTTTCTTCCATGGATGAATGACAACCAGTTGTATGACTGGAGGGAAGCAATGAAATACCAATTCTTTTGGATCAGATGTCTGCAAGTCCTGGTTTTCGCCCTTCCTGTTTTGGAGGAAGCAGTTGAAGCTGCCTTTGGAAATATTATCAAGTCCTACTCTGCGTTCAAAGAACCGACTGCCCCCGAGCTGTTAAATATCAGATTTGATCTGACGACATCGGCTATATTTCGATACAAACCGTATTTAACGATAGATCTCTCAGAATTTGGCTTCGTTAATATCGAGGTCGTCTGTGCAGATACCCCGTGGTGTCCAGATTGTCGGAGATATTTCCACTTCGCTGGTGATGTTGACTGTACGAAAAATAAAAGGCAGAAAAGTAATCCTCAAAAGACGAAAGGCAAAGCACCTGTGGCGGAGAAGAGTGGGAAAGAGAATGACAAAGGTCATAATCAGAAAGAGAAAACGAGCAAACAGAAGAACGATCCGACCAACCAACCGCAGGGCAAACGGCCTGAGGGGAACCAGAGGGGGAAGAATATGCACAATGGGGAAAATCTGGGAGAATCCTCCAAAGGTTGGCACATCGTGGTTTGGCAGGGTCAACAGAAGAAGGCTTACGTGCCAAAGGGGGCAGGTTCCTCCTTCCGGGAGGAGGTTCCGATGAACGAGGATGGCAATAACGGTGTCCCTCAGGAAGGGCAGGTCAATAAAAGGATAAATAAGGAAAAGGGAGAAGTTAGTAAGGAGGGGAAACGCAAGCCCAACCTCGATGACGAAGGACAGGAACTTCGAGAGGAGCCTGAATCGGAAGGAGGGATAGGGGTTGAAGAGCACATGGATTTGGAGGATCTTGACGAGGAGGAGGAGGATGGGGACGATGATTGTGATCTCTTAATTCGCCATCGGAAAGTTGAGAAAAAAATCGATATTTTTGCCAAGGATGAAGAACTAAGGGATATAGACTTCGGGAGGGAGGCAAACCCGTTTTCTAAATTGGGCCCTGACGCTCGATCAGACTCGGGCCAGAAGGAAAATCCACTTATTGAAGTGGAGGACACAGACAAAGAAATACCGAAAGATGTAAGACTCTTTGTCCTCGATGAAGACGACTTGCAGGAAGAAGGGAAGGACGGCGAAATGGAAACAGATGGGCAGATACCTCTGGAAGAGGGAGTGGACGGGGAAGAGAAAGAGGAGGAAAGCGGAGAGGAACCAGAAGAAGATCTGCTGGGAGTCATGGGAAAAGAACTCGATGATGGTCTTCAAAGGCGGACAGAGGAGGGAGTGGGAAACACAGCTGAACGGGACTTAGATATTGATCTTTCTACCCCGGTGGCCAGAAAGACCACACCAATGGAGGCTTTTAAAATATACGATAATTCGTTTTATGGCCTGGATTCTTTGAATTCTCAATCTCAGAATTTAGGGCAGTCTTCCCCCTCAGCAGAAGAGGGCACTCCCTTTCTTTTTGGAGGAAGTGGTATCCTTCTGAGAGGGGGAAGAAAGTGGAACGAGACCTTGAGAGGTGCATCTCCCTCAAAAAGAAAGAAAGGGCTTAAGGGCAGGGGGATTGACTCGTATAGTGAGGATCATAGTGTGTCGATGGGCTGAGCTCCCATCTCTGGACTTAGCCAAGACTCGCAAAAGGTCCTTTCTACATCAGACAACAGGCAAACAGCTGTCATTTGCTGGGCCAATGAGAACATTGACAAAAATGGATGAAGTGAAAGGCCCGGTGAAGAGTTTTTTGGTCCCACTCATCTGCTCAGACACGCCTCTGGGTACGATGGTGTTGACCAGAATAATGTCTGATGAAGTGCTGGTAATCCGAGTGATACAGGTCAATTCCCCCCCAACGGAAGAAGAGGTATTGGATCTGACAAAGCGTCATGTCCTCAATCACACCGGTGCAGTCTCTATCCTACCAACAATGAAAGTTAGTCGATATTTATCCCTGAAGGACGAAGCTCCACCGATTATATTTTATTTTGTTTTTTTTTGGATTAAAATGATTAACGACTCATTTGTCAAATGGAGTGAACTACGGGTACATTGGTCCCCCCTGCAAGACTTCCTTGTTGATCGATCAGAGGTGATCGCCTCTCTGCGGCTCTCGCCGGCGCGTACAGGGCAGGTGGTGGCCGATTGGATCAAGCATATTGGCATGTTCACACGCCTTACGAGGGACCAAGTCTCCCAGATGCTGCTAGCAGTGCGAAATTTGGGAGTTGGCCTAAACTTTCATAAGGATATGGGCCAACGAAGCTCAAACCCAAACAGCCGAATCCAACAAGTAGGCGAGAAAGAACCTGATGGTTCTTCCGACTAAAATCCGCGTTGCTTCATGGAATATTCGCGGGCTGGGCGAAACTTCCAATAGATTCAAGAGATCACACCTAAGGGCGTGGGTCCATAAATCCAATATCCAAATCTTAGGCCTCAAAGAGACGAAATTAGACAACGACAAGCTGGTTGGGCCTTTGCCCTGTGGGATGGGCCCCAAATATGGTCCCCGGCTGAAGGTTCCAAGGGGGGGGTTGCGGTTCTTATCCAGAAGAATCTGGAAGTTACTGTTTTGGACTCATATACTGATGCGGGGGGTAGAATTGCTTGGATAAAATTTACGATTGGAACAAAAGAATGGGCGGTAATGTCGGTTTATGAGCCCGTTGAATACATTTTAAGAACTGAGTTTCTAGCGAACCTCCCAGCTTTTATTCCCGATACTGAAAACTTGATTATGCTTGGAGACTGGAATACGGTACTGGTCCCAGGTCTAGATTCACTCTCTAATAGACCCGCAAGGGCTGACTCGGACATGTTGAGAACTTTTATGGAATCACAGGCTCTGAGTGACGTCTATAGAACATTGAACCCTGAGACTAATGGGTTTACTTGGTATGGTCCATGACCTTCCAAATCTAAAGAAGCCCCACGTTGCCGCTTGGATGCAATCCTGACTCGGGGTGCCCCATGGGAGAGGTGTTGTTGGTCAGATCTTGATGGGATTCATTTGTCGGACCACTATCCTGTTTTGATGGATGTGGTAGCCCAGGACCTAATAGAGAAAGAGAGACCTCCGTTTAGGCTAAATGTAAATATACTAAAAGACGAGGGCATCAAAGAGTGGATCATAGACCAAATGAAAAGTTGGAAAAAAGCCAAGGACTTATTCCCGGACATTCATACATGGGCGGAAGAGGGCATCAACATAGTGAGAGGAGCATTAATCAATTTCTCAAGAATGAGGGCAGCTAACCGTAACTGGGGAGAGCAAAAACTTCAAAAGTTAATTACGGAAGCAGAATCCAAAATGGGACGTCTGACCATCTTGGAGTTGGAAAGATTAGAAGTAGCAAAACAATCTAAGTGGCTGGATTGGCTATGGATGCGTGGTATAGTAGGGTATGATCGAATGACCAAACTCTCCTTTCGCTCATTAATCCTCAGACGCTCTAAGTCACTCATTCGGGAATTATCTCATCCCTTCAATAATATTCCTAACACCTCTTCAAACTTATCTATCATGTGCTCACATGCTTTTGATTATTTTAGTGATATCATATCGACAAGGAGACCTTTTGATTCCCCGAATCTTGATCTGTCAAGCTTTTGTACTTTCTGGAATAAAACAAGGACAAAATTTTCAACTGGGATAAAACAAGCCCTGGACGAACCATTCACTGAAGGAGAGATAGCCAAAGCAGCAAGACGAATGGCAAGAGGGAAGTGCCCTGGCCTTGATGGCCTTCCAGTGGAGCTATATGTTGAATGTTGGGATTCCTTCGGCCCTCTTCTCTGCGAAACCTACAATGAAGTGAGGGAAGTGGGTAGCCTTCCTAAAAGCTTCTCAAAGGGGGTTATCTCTTTAATCTATAAAAAAGGAAGTAAAACCGAAGTTCGTAATTACAGACCAATTTCGGTACTTAACCTCGTTTACAAAATTTTGGCCAAGGCCATGGTTATTCGATTGGCAAAATTTCTTCCGGAAATAGTCGGGCCGGAGCAGGGGGCCTTTGTGAAGGGTCGTAACATCTTTGATAATATATTGGAAGCAATCCAAACTATTGAAATAACTGCCGCTGAGAAAAGAAATGGCGCGGTCCTCCTCCTTGATATGGAGAAGGCCTATGACAAGGTAGGTTGGTCTTTTATGTTTACAACGCTTAAAGTAATGAACTTTGGTCAGATATTCCAGAAGTATGTTAGAGCCTTGTATGTCGGAGCGTCATCAATGGTTGCAGTGAATGAAAGACTTGCCTTACTCGTTCCCTTCGTCAGGGGTATCCCCTGGCTCCACTGTTATTCGTCATACAACTAGAGATCCTTCCAGACAATATCAAACATAATCCGGATATTAAAGGTCTTGAGCTTGCTAGGACAATATCTTAGAAAGGGGGTGCTATCGCAGACGATCTTACAATTGTAAGCGAGAACTCGGTTCACTCCTTAATGCACCTCAGACAAGTCTTGGATGAGTATTGTCTCCTCTCGTAAGCTGCTATTAATTAGGACAAATCATCCTTTTTACTGCCTACACCGTATAATATATGTGTAGATTGGGGTTTGTTAGAGGTTAAATTATAGGAATCTGAACGTCTTTTATCCCTTGCTAACTGCGCATCCAAGCAAGATAAAATATTACAAGAAAAGGTTTGTGCCCGGATATATGGTTGGGTCAAGAATCGTAAGTTATCAATTTTTGGAAGGGTTCTGGTAATTTCTGTTGCTGCCTTTTCAATTCTTTGGTTCCCGCTGGCGGTTTATACCTCAGGGGACAAAGCCTATGCAACAATAAAGCAGACTGCTGCACGGTACCTCTGGAAACCATCGGCGATGGAACAACAAGGATACATAGTCAAAGCTGCATGAGATTTAATCTGTCTCCCCATAATAGAAGGGGGATTGGGGTTGCAGGACCCAAGAGACCAAAACTTTGCTCTTCTGTGTAAATGGATGATCAGAGCGATTTTTGATACAGACCAGAAACAGTGGAAGAGTCTGGGAGAATATATCTTGGAAAAGGAATTTGGAATTTCAGACCAAGTCAACATCTGACAATGTTTAGCTTTGTCAAACTTGGCTGCTAGGAAGGTTAAATCCAGAGTCTGGGCTGGTATCCTGTCTGCCTGGAACAAACTGAGACCGGAGCCATTGTGTGCTCCAACTACAAAACTGAAGGTATTAAAACAATGCTTATTCGATAATACTTTTATCAAGCTTCCTGCCGGGACCCCAGTGTCTACAGGTTCTAAGCCAGGGGACTTTGGTAAATCCTGGTTAACTAAGGGAATATTCCTCATTGAACATATTTGGGACGTACAAACCCAGGACTGGTATTCACTGACTAAACTTAGACAGAGTTTGCCTAGGCTCCATAAAGTTGAGGAAAATTACAGCATGCTTTTAAAGGCTATTCCTTCACATTGGAGATCCATCATTCTGGATTTTACAAAATATGGTATGGGGCCATGGTTGAAGCATCCATCAGACTCCCGTAGGGTGGTCAGGGTCCTCAGACCGGACCTAGCTAATGGACTGAAAGTGGAGCAGTGGGTGATTGGAAGAGAAGTTAAGCTAGGTCGGTCCCTCTCTAAAGAGGAAGATATCATTCTGAGTACCTCTGTGGATCTGGAGGAGGTTAGAGTGTTGTATCTACCCTCTTCTCCTAAGAAACAAGTTGTTTTATTGAGAAGCTTGGCCCTAGACTATGTGGTCGACCCATTGTTGTATGGATGGAAGGGTAGTAGGGATAGTTGTCATCCATTGATCACATACTCTTCCAAAATTGGTTCCTCCTACTTCAGATTAAAAAAGACTCAGCCCCTGGTAGTGGCAATCCGCAAATTCAAAAGAACATATGGGGAGGATCAGAAATTGCCAGAATTTCAATTACTTTGGACGACTCTAAAAAACATTTCATCTCAACGACAGGCGAGTTTGATGTGGATGCAATCTCTACGCCTTATTGCGTCCGCTCAATGGCTGAGCGTCAGGGGAGTGGATTTGGATACAAACATGTAAAAGATGCTTGACTACAGAAGAATCGGACTCCCATATTTGGCTTAAATGCCCGCACTCTGAGGAAATCTGGAATTGGTGGAGACTCCAATGGGAGGACGCAGTTGGTGATAGGTGGAATTGGACGGATGAATGGATACTGGCTGCTTCCTTGCCAGATGGGAAGCACTGGAAGGACGACTGGGGCTATGTGGCTTTAGTGTGTCGAGGAACAGTCGTGGAAGTTATTTGGAAAACAAGGAATAATGTAATCTTCAGGAATCAGAGTACTCACTTTCACCAGCAGAGATCCATGGTGAAACAGACCCTGAGACTTACGATACTCTCGGATTGGCGGAGGAGCTAAAGGAGAGGAGGCAGAGGAGTTGGGTGGTTTCGAAAGACTTGGGCAAAGGAAAACTTCCTGGTTTCAGTCACAGATGATGGGGAAGTTGAGACATCCAAGTGGTTGACATACATGGACACTCCATGAATTGGGACATTATCATCTGGTCAAGGATCGATTTGGGCCTGAAGGAGGTGCTGACACGGTCTACTGTGGCCCGTCCCCTGGTTTTGGGGCCATGCCAGATGGTTCTCAGGTATTCAAACAGTTTGTTTTTAGAACTGTGCTTTGTCTGGCTTCGGACTCCCCAATGCTTTTGACAAGGGAGTTGATGAGGAATACCCGATTTGAACCTGGATTGCTTTATCTTGAGAAAATCAGGGACTTGGTTATAGAGGTTAACAAGCTGAGGAAGATAAGTTTGAGCTAGCTGGTATCTGGTAGCTCACTGTGCTTTTGATTTGTGCTTCAAAGTTTATTTTGGAAAGTTGGTGTTAATGGGACGCAGGACCCGGTTTCCAGCAGGTTCTGTTTATAATTTGTTTGACTAGTGCTGGTTTGTAGTCCTCGAATTGAGATTAAGCGAAACTGGTTGAGGCTGTC